TACTGTGGGTCTCTCCCGGCCGTGCAGCAGGGAAGGAGTTGGCATTTTCCCTACAAAAACATGAGGAAGGGAAATATTTGAATGCAGGGGGCTGGGTCCCAGCTGCACAGGATGCACTGGGGACCGACATCCTTGGGGCTGTTGTTTGGGGTGCGCAGTGGGTCTGTGCACGCTGCAATGCTGCTCCGCTCGCTTTGCTTGAACTCCCTGGGGTTTGTGCACCCATCAAGGAAAGAGAAAAGAAGCAAGAGAGGGTTTTCCTTGCGTGGCTCTGCGCTCGCTGCTCCCGCAGCTCGGAGCTGCAGGGCACAAATGGGGCCTTGCAGAGAGCCGCAGGCTCCCTGTCCGGCCTCGCTGCTCTTGCTAGTCGCAAACCTGGGACTCGCATCATGAAACGGGGGCCGCCAGCAAAACCTGCTCTAAGGCAGCGCGTGCCGGGCAGGTACCTGCACAGGACGCGGGGACGCTGCTCTGATGTCCCTGATGCCACATGAGTCCCTGGGCACTTGGGCACTGTCACCCTCCTTGTCCCTGCCCGGGCCTCCGCACATCCCAGTGCTGCAGCATCCCGGCCCTATTGCCCCTGTGGGCACCTCTGGCAACGCTGTGCTCGCCCACCCACCACAAAGCCAGGTTTTATTGGGTGTCCTTCCCTCCTCCCTGCTGGTATTTCCCCCGTGTCACCCCCCTGCTCCTCCTGGGCAGGTCCCGGCAGCGGCTTGTGGCCCTCGAGCAGCGCGTTCCCGGGCAGCGAGGTGAATCCTCGCCGAGCTCCCGGCCGCCGCGGCGCCGCCGGGGGTTTGTGCCCAGCCCTGGGGTCGCTCCTGCAGGGAATCTGATCATATTGTATTAAAAAATATTTTCTGTTGGGGGAGAAACAGCATCAGCCTGGGATGGGAAGGGATGCTGGTTCCTCTGCCTTTCAGTGTGCTCAGCAGCCTGAGAGCTGCTTGTGCAGATGGAGGTTTAAATGTGAGGAGTCAAATTCCTCCTGCCCTCAGGTGCTCGGGATTAGGCCCGTTTTAAATGCTCCCCTGGTCTGTTACGATCTGCTTCAATAGGGCTTTTCCTAGACCCTCCTGTGCATGGAAAGCTGCTCTCCAAAGGAGAAGGTCCTTTCCTTTTCTGGATTGTATTTCCAGCACACCGGACCTGCTAGGGAAGTTAGATATCTATTTTAATAAAGTGATGAGGTTAGTCTGGGTGAGCACATCCCCTTTCCCGCTGCGGCCGCTCCTTGTGGGATGCTGCGAGCCGTGATTCCTTGGCTCCCAACACCCCCATGGGACGGGAACATAACGGGAACGACAGGGAAGGGGAAATTCCCCCGGCTCTGCAATGGGAGCAGCGCTGGGGCAGAAGCCTTTCCTGGACCCAGAGCCTTTCCCGGTGCGCCCTGCTCTTTGCTGATCCTGCTGCGTTGCCACCCAAATGTGGGGGTCAAAGGGAAGGGGACCCTGCCCGTGCGGTGGTTCGGTGCTCCCTGCTGTGCCTGGAGCCCAAACGCTCCGTGTCGCTCCGCGTTGCTCCTGTGCCGGCCCCGGCTCTGCCTTCTCGCTCATCCCTGCGTATTTCTGTGCGCGCGGCTGCGTCCTGGCCACCCTGAATAACAGGGACGCCCCTGTCCTTCGCTCCGGGCACGCCGGCTCTGCCCGCGGGTCTGTAGCCACCCCTTGAGCACCGCGGTGTTTGTGACCCGGCCCGGGGGGACCTTGCCGTGCATTTGTTTCCTTCGTGGTGCCTTTGGGCATGTGCCGCTGCCTCGGGGCCCCACGGCAGCTCCGGGTCCCTCGGGGAGGTGCCGGAGGCGAGCGTGGGTCCCAAGGGATGGCGCAAGGAGCCGTTTGCCGCCCTCTCCTGACGCTCCCGTCTCCGTGTCCCTCTCTGCAGATGATCCCCCCGGACCAGGAGCTGCTCGTGTGGTACGGGAACTCCCACAACACCTTCCTGGGCATCCCCGGCGTGCCGGGGCTGGAAGAGGAGCAGAAGAAGAACAAGCACGGTAGGTAACACCAGGATGGATTGCAGGAGCAGCTCCTCTGCCCTCGTCCCTGAGGCCAGGGGAGGGAACGGGACATGGGGTAGGGATATCCCATGGGACACGCGAGACCCTCCGGCTCCATGGGGCGAAGGCAGGGACCTTGCCGCAGCAGAGCCCGTCTCAGAGAGGTCCTATGGAGGCTGGGCAGGTGCCTAGTAATTGAAGGGCCCCTGTGAAATGCCGAGGGGATAAAGTCACCGGTTTCCCTGCTTGGCATTAATGCCACAGTCCTGTGGATTGTTTATTTCTCCCCAAATCGCCCTGTCCTTGGAGCCCGGTGGGGGCAATGTCAGAGGCAGAGCAGACGCTGCGTCGGAGGCGAGGAGAGCAACCCCCTGCCCCAAACCCAGGGAAAGCGCTCGCAGCTCCAGCCCCGTCCCACCGCGGCGAGCGGGAACGGGGGCAGCGGGAAGCGGCCGGGCGGGACGCGGCCCCTCACGGCGCCGTCCCCGCGCGCTCTCGTCCCCAGAGGATTTCCACGCGGCGGAGGCGGGCGCCAGCAGCACGGGCCGCATGCGCTGCGTCATCTGCCACCGCGGCTTCAACTCCCGCAGCAACCTGCGCTCCCACATGCGCATCCACACGCTGGACAAGCCCTTCGTGTGCCGCTTCTGCAACCGCCGCTTCAGCCAGTCCTCCACGCTGCGCAACCACGTGCGCCTGCACACGGGCGAGCGGCCCTACAAGTGCCAGGTGTGCCAGAGCGCCTACTCGCAGCTGGCCGGGCTGCGGGCGCACCAGAAGAGCGCCCGCCACCGGCCCCCCAACGCCTCCCTGCAGGCGCACTCGCCCGCGCTGCCCGTGCCCCATCCCGCCTCGCTGGCACATCACATCCCCACCATGGTGCTGTGAGCGGCCGCGGCGGCGCCCGCCCGACGGGCTCCGCTCTGGGTGTGGAGCGGGGCGCTCCGGTGTCCCCACCGCTGTCCGTGTGGGGTTTGGAGGGAGGCTCTGCCACCCCCTGGATGGTGCCCTGATGGGTGCTCCCGTGGGAAAGGTGGAACAGGGTGTCCCCGGAGGTGGCAGGGTGGCCAAAGGGATCGTGCTTCCAAGGGTGGGATGCTGCGGGTGGATCAGGCACCAAAAGTTCCACAGGAACTTCAGGAAACGTTTCCTAACAGTGAGGGTGACAGAGCCCTGGAACAGGCTGCCCAGAGAGGCTGTGGAGTCTCCTTCTTTGGAGATCTTTAAGACCTACTTGGACGCAGCCCTGTGCCATGTGCTCTAGGTCCCCCTGCATGTGCAGGTAGGTTGGTCTAGATGACCTCCGAGGTCCCTTCCAACCTTAGAACCATAGAAGCATTCCATGATTCTACGGTTCTGTGATTTGGGGCAGCCCCAAAGCCGAGTCACCCATAGGGTTTTGCAGTTAATTGGGTGGAAGGAGAAATCCTCCTTCTCCTCCTCTGCTCTGGTGTGAGCCCCATGGGGACACACTCCCCGATCCCCATAGGGGCCATCCCCTTCGTGCCCTCCACCCTGGAGCAGCAGGCTCTTCCCAAGGGAGACACGGCCAAGCGCCAGCGCGGCCCCTTTGGGAGCCCTGTCCCCACAGGGGTGTCCCCAATGGCGAGAGGCCACCAGGACACCCCCGGCCACCCATGTGCCACCCGGAGATGCCCCATCCACAGGCAGGTGTTGGAGGGGTCCCATTGCTCCAGATGGAGACCACGGCTCCCCACAGCCTTTCGGAGCATTTAAATTTACTTCTACTGCCCTCTGGGGACAGAAAAGACGGTCCCCAGGGCCGGCTCCGTCCCCAAGGACAACTCTAGGAGCCCTCTGGAGTCCTGCAGCAAGCCGAGGGGGGTCTGTATCATAAAGCTTAAAAGAAGGTATCTAATATTAATTATACGTCTAAGGTGTATAAAGTTATCACAAACTGTGTTTTACTTCCAGAAAAAAAAAAAGAGAAAAACTGTCACTTTAACTTTGTAAATATTTATGTAAAACATTATTTACAAAACTTTGATATTATATATTATTTGATTGTATATGTACACAGTGTAAATACATTTGTACCTCTCTTGTATTCTAAATAAAAGCTACTTGGAACATTTATCATTTGGAAGAGGGGCCGTTGCGGGAGCTTTATTTGGCTCTGCGCCCGGCGCAGCCTGGGCTTTGCAGATAGATATATAGATATTTGATAGACAGATATTTGATAGGTAAATCTATAAATAATGGTGATATTTCTGGAATGATGGGCTGCAGATACAGGCCTTGCTTGAAAGAGGAATTTTGCTCTTGGTCTGGGGCAGGTGAATCAGACCTAAAGGGCCTCGCTCGCTGCTTTTTCTCAGTTCTTTTTGCACCACTTAATCCATGTTTGAATGAAATGAGTAAGGCTTTCACACAAACATGTGACATATATATATATGTTATGTATAAGAACATATACCTCCCTGTGGGATGCAGTGCACTGCGGCCTCACCGCCGGTTATTACATGCAGCCCCTCGGCCGCGTGCGCCGCAGGGTTATATTGCTGGGAATGCACAAATTCAGCGAGGAAAGGCTGTGTTTGGGTTGGTTTGGGGTTTTTTTAACCCATAAAATGTGATTTTTGGGGAAGTGTCTACAGTTCTTTCCTGCTTTTTTCCAGAGGTCCACCCTTGGGCCTGCAGTCCTTGGGGCAGCTCTCCTTGAGGATGGCACTGGCTGTGGGGTGGGGGAGATCGGTTATGGGGCAAATCTCCCCCTTCAGCCCCTTCCTTGGGGGAATATGGGGGGGAGAAGCGCTTTCCCTCACTAAACATGGCCCCCTGTCCCTTCGGATCCCGGCGCGGTGAAGCCCACGCCTTCTTTTCCCGCCAGCACCCAAGATGGCCGCCGAGGAGCCGCTATTGCCGCCGACCGCCCTCACCCAAGATGGCGCCGGCCCGGCCTCAAGGCGCGCCCTTGCCAGCGCTCGGCATGGCGGGCGGAAGGCGCGTGCGGAAGGGGGGGCGAGGCGACAACATGGCGGCCATAGACATACGGCTGCCGGTGGCGCGCAAGGCGCTCAAGGCGCTGAAGGAGAGCGCGGGCGGCGAGAAGCACCTGGTGGCGCCGGGGGACATCATCACCACGGACACGGGCTACATGAGGTGGGGGCGGCCGGCCGGCCTGGCCCGCCGCGGGCGGCAGCGCGCTGGGCCCGGCTGTTCACTCCCCGCTGCGGCCGCTGTCCCCACAGGGGCCACGGCACCTACGTGGAGGACGAGAAGCTCATCGCCTCGGTGGCCGGCGTCGTGGAGAGGGTCAACAAGCTGGTGTACGTCAAGGCGCTGAAGACGAGGTGCGAGCTCCGCAACGTGCCCGCTCCATGTTCCTGAGGGCCCTTCCCAGCCAGGGTGATTCCCTGATTCTGTGATTCCCGCCCTAGGTACAACGGCGAGGTTGGCGACATCGTCGTGGGGCGCATCACCGAGGTAACCTCGCGGGTGGACGGGCCCTCCTTCCCATCGAGATGCCAGTTTTTTCCTGTGATGAAGCGGGAACTGGGGCTTGGCTTGTATGGAAAGCCCTGGATTGACTGGCTGGTGACATCCCTGCCTGCTCCAGAGCATCCTTGTGCTCCTGAACATCCCTTGGCCCATGTGTCCTTGTGCTTTGCGACAACTGAGTGAAGAGCTTTTGTTCAGTTCTATTTATGAGCATGTATCAACAGGTTATTTTCTTTTCCAGGTTCAGCAGAAGCGATGGAAGGTGGAAACCAACTCCAGGCTGGATTCCGTCTTGCTGCTGTCATCTATGAATTTACCCGGTGGGGAGCTGGTGAGTACAGCTCGTGCAGAACTCGTGCTGTTTCTCTGGCTGCGAGATGGGCACTGAGAAGCCAGGAGGCTCTGGAGCCTCTCCCAGGGTTCACACTTACGTAGCATTAGTGTTTGCAGGTGGTTTTGTGGAGCTCTGGCATCATTATTTAACTCTTAATGTTATTTGGACCTTGGCACCAGTGATTGAAATATCAGAGCTTTGCTTTTCCCTGTTGCCAAGATTGTTTTGCATGGCATCATAAGGAGGAGAGCCCTTTAGTGTGGGAATTGATTTAGGTGTTCCCATCCTGGGCCACGTGTAACTTTTCTCCCATTCTGCTTTTCAGAGAAGGAGATCAGCAGAAGATGAGCTTGCAATGAGGGACTATTTGCAGGAAGGGGACCTCATCAGCGTATCCTTCCACTGCTTGTGTTCAGAGAGAAGCCCCAAGGGGCCTGGGTGAGAGCAGCTAGACCTTAGCAAGCCCTGCTCATAAGGAGAGTCCTCTGCCTTGGGCAGTGGGCAGTGGGTGGCATCAGGGAGCTTGTTTCCTTAAGTGGCACTGACAGGCAGAAGTCCAGTCTGTGTTTTCTGATGGGGCTGTGTCGCTGCACACACGGAGCCTGAAATATGGGAAGGTAAGTTGCTCAAAAGCACCCCGTCTTGGCCTAATTCTGCTCCAGTTGACTTGTATGGGAATGCCTCTACTGGTGCTGAGTATTTCGTAGATTTTCAAATGTGAAGCTGGTTGGAGTTTGAAGCAGATCAGAGCTCTTTCTGTGATGGTCTCCCCTTGCTGCAAGAAATGGGGTGTGAGAAGGATGAGGGGAGAGTGACGATCCCTTAGCAAAGCTCTGATGGGCTCTGTATTATCCTTCATCAGTTCCTGCTAGCTTGGTGGTCCTGCACTAGAAGGTCAGGCCCTTCCTAAATACAGGACAAGTCAGCAGAATTTCTTTGGCTTTGTGTCAGAGTAGCAGCAGGATTGGGCCTTTGGGGATTTTTTTCTTTAAGGGAAAAAAAGCTCTGGAATAGAGCAGAGTATTGTTGGCATCTATTCTGACAGGTAGGAAAGGATCTTAGCTCCCAAACGGGAAAACACATCAGAGTTCTTCATGCAAAGGGAATGCCCTTGAGTTGTCCTTTGGACCACAGTCCTCCCTGTCCACAACTGCAGGCTGCGAGTCCTGTTTCCCCCACTAGCCCTTTGGGCAGTAAACCCTGTGGAGAAAAGAGCTTCTGGCTCAAACTTGCTAACTCCTTTTCTGCAGGCCATTGCCCTTGTAACTTGTTTCTCTCCCCAGGGCTCTATTTTAGGCTTTATACGGTTGGCATTTATCTCTGGTTTTGTGCATTGTAATAAGCCAAGGGGCCATTGGAGCGTAGGCTGCAGTTTGGGATTACCAGACCAAAGGTATTAGCATTTAAAAGATGAAAGCAAAGTGTGCTTATTGCACAAAGGGTGAAGGACAGCTATTGGATTAAAAGGGAAAGTGTTCTGCTAAATTGGGCTTCTCGCTCTTCATTTTTTTCTGCAGGGATGGTTGATGTGTCGTTACGATCAGGATATTATTAACATTTGTGCTAAGAATGTAGAGCAGTCTTCAGCTTCAAAGGGCTACACAGGCATTAGTTAATCTTCCCAGCACTCCCAGAGGCCGGCAGGTTTTCTAAGCGCTGTTTCACAGGAAAGGATGTTAAAGCTGGCTGGTTAAGAGACCAAGAATGGAGGGCATGTCAGTGACCCCACGTATCTGTGGTGGGTTGTATCTCACCCCACGTATCTGTGGTGGGTCGTATCTCACGCTAAGTCTGGTGGTCTGTTTTTCAGCTCGGCCAAGGTGTGCTTGTTCAGGTCTCCCCCTCGCTCGTGAAGCGCCAGAAGACTCATTTCCACGACTTGCCCTGTGGTGCCTCTGTGATCCTCGGCAACAACGGCTTCATCTGGATCTACCCAACTCCAGAGCAGAAAGATGAGGAGGCTGGGGGCTTCACCACCAACCTGGAGGTGAGGGGACGGGGAGTGTGACAAACCTCCCCTTAATTTACTAGTCTGACACAGTCGCAAGAGGCTTTGTTATAATAAATGCATATTGTTTCACTGTGTATTCATCTCTTTTCCCTGTTGTTCCTCAGCCAGTCCCCTTGTCTGACCGGGAGGTGATCTCACGGCTCCGGAACTGCATTGTGGCTCTGATTACTCATAAGCTGATGCTTTTTGACACCAGCATCCTGTATTGCTATGAAGCATCCCTTCCCCATCAGGTACAAAAGTCAGGGTTTGCTTTATTCCATGCCATGGGGAGGGGTGGGAACGCCACATCAGCTGCTAACCAAGTCAGTAAGTTATGTGCCAGTTCTTCCTTCCTTTTCCAAATGAGATCCAGTTGTAAGTGATAGGTTGTGATAAGTGATAAGTTGTAAGTGATCTCTGTAAGACTGCCAGCCAGGAGGAAGTTAATGTTGTCTTGGAACCTCTGCAATGATAGTCCTGTTTACCCAGAACCCTTTGAAGGTATCTCACTTGTTGCTGTGTGCCAGGGGCCCTTGTCCTCATTGTGAGCAAAGGTAGCAGTCACTCTTCAGTCCTAATATTACTCTTCTTTCTGCTGCAGATCAAAGATATTATCAAACCAGAGGTGATGGAGGAGATCGTGCTGGAAACTCAACAGAGATTGCTGGATCTGGAGGGATAGGGCAGAAGTGGTCATTTGAAGTCCCACTATGGCAGCTTTGGATTTTTTTGTTTTGTTTTGTTTTCAATATCCCAGTCCCTAGCATTCATTCCACGATTCGGAAAGCACCCTAATTCATCATTTTAATTACTAGAATATCTCATTAACCCTACAAAATGGCTTAGACTTTAGTACACTAGCCTTTTAGTGCAGCAGTCTGAAAAATGGACTCTACCCTTTGTGAAGATGCAGGTGTAACTGGACATCTCTTATTGTGCTCCTTGCTGTGTGTAGCGCCTCTGAATTTGGTGCAGAGTGATAGAGAGATGGGGTGAATTTTGTTTTCCTCTCCACAAAGGCTTTCTAAATGGTTTTGTTTTTTCTTTACTGTGATAGAGATCTATCAGTCTGTGACTCCAACTGAGAGCTCTTTGTCTCTTAAAGAATACAGATCACAGGAACAAGTCTGATGGGAGGAGAAATTAAATTTTTTAGAGTGTCCTCAACCTGCTAACTGTTCATGGCTTGTGTATCTCAAAGTTTTGGGAGCGGATGTATCGTGATGTGACTGCCCACGAGTCAGGTAGCTATTTTGACGGGTGAGCAATGCCCTCTCAGTCCCTCTAGGCACTATCTGTATCCTGCTGGGTCCTTTTATGTGCCTGATACAGTAAGCTCCTCCTCTAAAGAGGCTTCGGTATTGTTTTCTATTAAATATTTCACATTTCAATAAATATTTTTGAAAGAGAAATTAGCCCTTCAGGAGTGTGCATATTGGCTTGTCTTTCTCCAGAACGACTTGGGTCTAGCTCAAGAGCTGCAGTTGGCTCAAACTTTGTTGTGCCAGGACACTCAAAGTGGTTGCTGTGTCTTATGACATCTCCTTCAACTATTGCTCTTCACTCCATTCAAGCAGAGCTTCACCTTTTTCTCCAGCATATCTTCTGTGAAGAGTTCTTCTTCTAAGGTAGATTGCCTGGCAGTGACTCATGCTCAACATCACTTTGCTGCAAAATCCCCGTGGAGTGGTGAGTCATGCAGCTGTGCCTGGGGCAAGTGGGGAGCTCAGCAGGACACTGGCAGAGATGCTCAGTGGTTAGAGCTGGGAATGTTGGGTTAGGTGCTGGCAGTGAGTCTCTTCCCTGTACAGAATGGTGGTGGTGATTTTATTTGAATGTCCTCTCAGATCTTTAGTGCTGCGTTAGAATTGTTTATATTATGTATGTTAGAGCTGTTTGCAGCATAGTGCTACCTCTGTTAAAAAGGCTGAAGAAGCAAAAATCTAGCCTAAATGGCACTGAAGCTGTTTTTAACATAGGGAATTCTCATGCTTGCCCTAGGCAAAAAGAAAAATCCTTTGCTCAGTCTTGGGAACTAGAACTATCCTTCTAGTTGCTTCTCATCCAATTCTGACTGCTCTGACCGTGGCCCAGAGTAAGCACTAGGTGGCAGCTTCTGATTGTGTTTGTAATGTTAATCTTTCCCTGCAGCTCTGCCTTGTTGCAGTGCCAGAAAGCCAGGGCTGGATGTTTGCCCAAATACTACAGCATTTGGGCATTGCTGCTGCCCAAATACTGAAGCATTATGGAGCTCAGTGGCTAAGGACAGGCAAGGATATGGGCAGCCTATTCTGATATTGCACAGCTGGGACTTTGGTCTATACTGCCTCTGTAAAACAGTATTTAAGTTCCTGAGGATGTCTCTGGAAAGCTCCATGCAATGAGCCTGGAATTGCTATTCTGAATTCTGTGAGGATTTCCTGATAAATGTTTCAACAACCACTTCCTCAAGGTGACTTGGGATGCTTAAAGACTGAAGCTTGATGGTGCTGCTTGCAGATATTTGCCCGAGGCTGGTACTGGCATTATGTACATCTGCATGGACAGGAAGAGCACAAAGAGGCTAAAAGCTGTAGCTTCCTCGGTTGCTTCTAATTAAAAAGTACTTTTTTTTCCCCAGTCCAACTGCTAGAGTTTAACTGTTTGTTATTACAGAGCATGCTGAAGGAAGCGTTCTCTGCAGGTGGTTAAGGCAGTGTTGCATTAAGCACCAAGTGTGAATGCTCAGAGCTGGAGGCCAGACAGAGACAGGTTCTATAAACAGGATGCCAGGAAAGGGATGCTGGTGTGTCTGCAGTTCCTGCTTTCTGCAATACCTGGTGCTTTTGTTCACAGCCTAAAAACAAGGGCGTTAGCAGGTACGATTTGATTATTGGTCATTTCTAACTCATGGGGAGGAAGAGTAAATCCTGGTATTTTTCTCCCTGGCCACGAGGGGTCATTGCTGCTCTTTCCAAGTCCAGCCAGCACTGTGCCAAGGCCAGACCTGCATTGTGAAATCAGGCTTCAGCAAGGACATTGCTGGGTGTTCGTACAAGCCCGTCAGCAAAGCTTTTCAAGCCAGCAAGTAACGAGATAGGAGAGGAAAAACTTGCGTGGGAAGGGACGAGCTTCCTGAACAGTTTCAAGGGTGCCAAGGAAAGTACCTGTCCAACTGCCTTTTGCTCTTGATTAAATCCCTTGTGCTTTTCTGACAGGTGTTGAGGATCACCAGTTCTCATCCCCTGCAAAGGCAACTGGAGGTGCTGTGGGGCATCATAGTGTCCGTGCAGAGAGGCTGAAGTGTCACTGTTAAGTCCTGTCCCACATAATGGCAAATGACTTTTGCAGGGACCCACCAGAGATGAGTGAGGGGTCAGACAAGGCTGGGGGATGGCAGGGGGGCTTGGTGAGCAGGACATGCAGGCACTGGCCTCTCAGGTGTGTGGGTGACCCTGGGGTCCTTATTCTATAGGCAAGTCCACAGAGGAGGGTGAGCAGGATGTATAAAAAATCCTTTTGACATAGGGAGCATTTGAGATGTAAAGCAGACCCCAGGAAAATTAAGTCCTCTTAAATTCTTCAACTAGTCTTTGGGATGTTTCTAGGCATCTTCCAAGCAGGAAGGGTAAAGAGGAAGAACCTATGGTTTCTGTGGCTCAGGAACAAGATCATAGCCCAAAGAGGGGAGTTGGAGGGTGGGAAAATCTAATAAATGGTAATTTTTATGTGAGGACCTGAAATACGCACCAGGGCACTAAAACTGCTTAGATCAGCCTGATTTCCCTTGTCACCACTGTCCAATGGCACAAAACCTGCTTATACGCTGCTGTAGCACCTGCCTGTTCTGCTTGCTCCAAGAATAGTAAAAGGCATCATTGGGCTTACACTGTGGATGCTGACTTCAAAGTAGAGCTGGTTCCTTCGCTTGTGGCTGCTGCCTACAGAAAAGAGAGCATAAATTCAGTGTCGGTAGGAATAATTTTACTTGCTTATTGCTGCCAGTGCTTGATTCATGCATTAATATGAAGAATGACAAACCCTCCCTTTATCCACAGTAATAACCACTGGGGTTTTAAACTTGTGCTAATGGATTGTCAATCCAATTACTGCTGCTTATTATGTTATTTCTGTATCATTCACATCCAATTTTGTTGTTAAAGCCTAGTGAATGTTACAAAGACCAAGCTCTGAGCAGGGCCTTCGAGATGCTAAAAACCCACTGAGATGAAAGGCTTGGGTTCTCAAGGACTGATAATTAATATTGTAAGATTTGGTATTCGCTAAAGCGGTTGGAGCTTTCAGTTATTGTTGTGGAGGGGATGGAGGAAGCATCACTGCAGCTATTGGGTGCAACAACCCACACTTAATGGAAGGTAAACAAAATACAACCGAAACTCCTTTTATGAAACAGATGGGAGGTGCACACACCACATGCAAGGCCTTGATTAAAATGGTCTGTAACACTCTTTTCTAGCCTGGAAGTGCAGCTTCTGTGGTCACACAGTCTGCTGTTCTCTGTCCTCCCTAATAACCCCTGCACCTAATGGGTAACTTCAAGTTTGTTAAGCAGTGAATAATGAAGCTCATCAAAACTGGCAGCAGGGCAGAGGACAGAAAATGCATTGCCCTTCTGGAAAGAAGGCAGGTATCTTGCTATGATGTCGAGAGGGACCAGCTGGCTGCCCGTCTGTACATGCGGAGCCCCAGCTACTGTAACTGTAGTTAACTACAGCCCTGCTTTGGGAAATGGGAGACACTTTGGGAAACGTTTGAGGAGCAGGTGCCACGAGGAAAGAGGCTGGGGGCTGCTGGCAAAAGAACCTGCCCCACTTGGCTTCTTCCTAACTGCAGAGCATCAAAGGAACACCCAATCTCTTGTGGGGCAGGGAGAGGTATATTCAATCTATATTGTCCAGAACAGAAATCCTGCCTATTTTCAATTAATTTGTGTATGCTTCTGAGCATAGTGGATCTCTGGTAATCTTCAGGAGTTCACTGCTTTATTCCTGCTGTGGTAGCTGATATGAGGGATTATCCAGGATGCTCCTGTAAGAGCCAGAAGAGAATAACCTTTTTTTTCCAGTAAAGGATGGTTTGTATTAACTAGTTTGTCAATTCCACTTGAGCAATTTGAGGGAGATTTGTTACTAGCCAGCCGTGTTTCCTGAGTTTCCACCTCCCAGTGGGAATGCAGGATCTGTTTTGGAGTTGAGCTGGAGGTTAGATCATTGCAGGGAGAAGCTGCTTTGCATTACTGTGATTACTGAGAAACTAGAGAAATTTGGCTGAGTTCAAGACGTGTCTCTGGGTTTGTCTCAGCGTAGTGTACCAGAACTTCTCTCTCATGTAACACAAACAGCCTCAGTTCCTGGAACTGGAGTCACCAATGAACGTAATGTAAGTGCTCTGAGATCAGTGTCCTGGCTAAGAACGAGTGACAGAGGAGCAGAACGGTGCAGCAGAAGTGGAGATCCCTTCGGCTTGAATGAAATGCTACCTTTTGGGTGGTGTTGCTAGAAGATGAGCAGTCCATATCTGCTGGGGACCTTACGCCTGCTGTGGGAGAGATGGAGCATGTTTGAATTTGTCATAGGGGAGGAGCCAGGATAAACAAGCCAGTGCTTTGTCGAGACGGAAACCCTGCGGAGGCTCCTGCAGGAACCGCATTTGTGCGCTCTCCCACTGCTGGGTGCCAGCGAGCAGGGGCCTTTGACCAGAATATTCCAACCTTAAGCTGCTGCCTTTGCCCTCTTCCATTCCCAAGGCAAACTGGATAGAGGGAGAAAATGCCTTCAGCTTCATGGTTTGGACTTAGCTCGGAGAAACTGCACAGCGCACAACTAAGGGTGCTCTGTTGCAGGCTGAGAAACATGCAGGTTTAAATTCATCTTGGCACAGAACAGTACACGCTTGTAGATTAATGCAGTAACGCATTTTATCGACATATTCCTCAGCCTCTGGGGCTGTTTTCTGAGTCAAATTTTGCATGTGCTCTCATAGCATTAATAAAGAAAGAAGTCCCTAGTGCCAGCAGGATGACTTATCCCTGCTCAAGAGAAAGCAGATACATTTGATTGCAGGTGCTCCATAAAGTTCTTTTCATCCCTATCCACTTCTTGCAAGAAGTCTGGGGTGCACAGCAGGCCAGGGGACTGGTGACCAAGGCGACTGAAGGAGTTTCTGGAGCTTGGGAACTAACCAGCTCTCATTATCCAGGAGCAAACAACTCAAGTGGCCCTTGAAAAGGGGTAGGGAATTTGATCTGAGCTCTTTGAGTCCTCATCTGTGCTCCAGTTAAGGGGATACTCTGATTTTATGCCTCAGTTTGAAGAGTTTGCCGGTGAAGTTGTACTAGCAGATGCCCATTTGGAGGGGAATCAAGTCCACAGGGAGAAGCTCTTGTGGTCTGAGGGTATCTGTTGCCCTTTTCCTGGTGTAGCTAAGTGCCTTGCTGCTTTTTGTTGTGTTGTGTTTGCTTTTTGTCCTTGTGTTCCTGGTGTTCGTTTTTTGCCTTTGGAAGGCTTAAGAAAAGGTGATCACGACTTGTGGAACTGACACAGGGTTTTCGATCTCAGTCTGCAAGCTCTTTGTAATTCTGTACACGAACATTTTCCTCACAGCTTTTCACAATGTCCTGCCACTTAAAAAGAAGAAATCAGCTGTCCCATTCTCATACCTAAGACAGCAGAAAAAATAAAGTCCAAGTATGTGTATATGGCCTCGTGCCTAAAAACAAACGGGAAGCACATATCTTTGCAGAGTTTCCCAGAGGCTGGGTGAGGCAAAGAGCAGCCCAATTGGGCTCCCCTCTGCACCCTGCGGCGCAGCACTAACGAGCCGGTGCAGTGCTGCATTTAGTATTACGTATTTAGCATTATGTATTTAGTGCAGTGTTTAGGGCCCGGGTCCTCGCGGCCCCCGGCTCGCGTGCTGCAGCGCCACGTGCCAGCCCTGCCGCCCGTCGCCTCCCGGCCCCGTCCGGGCTCCCGTCTGTGGCTCCGTCCGCACGTACTTTGCGGTGACTTTGGCTCCCAGTTGCCCCCCATTCCCACATCATCTTCCCCAGTTTCTCCAAGCCCTTCCTGTCTCTCACTCCCATCGCTCTGCGGTCTCTCCTGTGTCTGCTCCGTCTCCCTCACCAGGGATCTCCCGCATGGGGCCCTCTCCATCCCCTTCACCCTTCCCCACCTCGTTCCCCTCCTCCTCCTCCACCGCCCGCTCCCTCACAGCTCCCATCCCACACGCGGCTCCTGCTTCTCCTCAGGATCCCCAGGCCTCCTTGGTGCCTGCCCTGGGTCGGAATCTCCTTCCATCTCCCCCCACCCTCCAAATGGTGCCCCTCCATCTTCCCTCACCCTCCTCCTCATGGTGCCCTCCCTTTCCTCGGCCTGCTCCATCATCTCCCCTCACCCTCCTCACGCTGCCTCCTCCCTCTCCCCTCATCCTCCTCACGCTGCCCCCTCCATCTCCCCTCACTCTCCATAGGGTGCCCCTTCCATCTTTCCTCCTCCTCATGG